GGTCGTCCATGGCCTGAAAAGCCATGGACTCCGGCGAGATAATGGTCGGAGAAGACTAGGGAGGCGATTAGTTTTTGAGTGTTTGAGAGCGTTTGAGAGAGAAGAGAGTTCGAAGGCGGCTGTCGAAGAGAAATGGGGATTAGGGCTAGGTCATGTGGAATTAAAAAAGGAAAGAATGATTTGTGGCCGTTGATCAAAAGGATCAACGACCTGGATTTAAAAGAACCCCGGGCGGGTTTAGCAATTGGGTCAGGGGTCGGGTGAGAAATCAAATTGGGTCGTTTTGATTTGGGGGTGGATTGGGCCAAAATTAAGGCTAAAATTGAAATGGAATTGGGGCTGCAATTGAAACGAAATAGGACTACATTTTAAATAGCCAGTTTTTCCCCTGTTATTTTATAAAAATAGTAAAAATGATTTGAAAAGAAAATTGAAGATGCTGAACCAATTAATAATACATATGTATTAATCTAAAAATATTAGAACTAATTTTACAATTATAAAACACTATTAATCGTAAAATAGGCTATAATTGCCTTTATATGCAATTATCTTTAAAAATACCAAACAAATTTGTAAAAATATACAAAAAAATTACCTTAATTATATTTGGTGTAAATATGAGAATAAAATAAGTTATTCACAAAAATGATAATTTTGGGAATAATTATTGGATTTTGTACTATTAAAATAGACAATGGATAGCTTCGCCGACTGAGACACGGCTATGGCGAGAAAGAGAGGCCGACCCAGACGAGAGCCACTCGTGACGGTCGGCGAAGCTATTAGTGCAAAGGTAATTGCAGAGACCTTAGCAAATGGATCCAACCAACAAGTCACAACACCAATTGGGCAACAATTACAGCAAATCTCTCAGAAAGCAGGAGCTCCAAGTAGCAGTAATGGAGCGATGAAGAGGATAGATATGAGTGCTGTGCAGATGCATGTGTCTTCATCTTCGAGTGAAGGCACCCCTGTACGAGAAAACATGGTAGATCTGGAAAATAAGTCGGACGGGAAAATAGCTGAGCTAGGAATCAATGGAACAGTAACACTTGAGCAAAATGAGGAGCTGACAGCACATGCAACAGCACCGGACAAGGTGAGAACCTGGGCAAATCTATTTGCGGACAACGGATCTTCGGAAAATGGTATGGTACTATCTTACTTTCCCCCAGAAATTGTTGATGGTAACATTGTGGTTAAAGTAGACAAAGAAGAAATAGAGGAACAGAATAAGATATGGGAATGTGCCTTAATCGTCTATGTAATTGGAGATTTGCCAAGATATAAATTCATGGAAAAATATGTTGCTCAAGCCTGGAGTAAAGTAAACATACCTGATTTGTATCTACATGATGAAGGATACTATATAGCAAAGTTCCACACAATTGGGGATCTAAAGGATATCCTGTATGGAGGGCCCTATACTATTAGTGGTAGACCAATTGTCTTGAAGCAATGGACACCAGATTTTGATATTAAGGCAGAATTCTTGATGGAGATTCCTTTGTGGGTTACTATACCTAATTTGCCTATGAGTTACTGGGGTAACAAGACACTAAGCAAGCTAGCAAGTGCCATTGGGAAACCATTATTTGCAGATGAATGTACCACCAAGCAGACTCGTGTGTCCTATGCAAGAATTTTGGTGGAAGCTAATGTGACAAAACAGCTCCCCACTGAATTGACTTTGCAAGAACCATCGGGGAAAATGGTCCAGGTGCAAGTGGAATATGAGTGGAAGCCACAGTACTGTATAAATTGTATGAAAATAGGGCATGATTGTACAAAGGGGAAGAAAGCACAAAAAGAAGATATCCTAGTAAAACAGACACAGGGGAGAATAATCACAAAATGGCAAGTAAAAGGGCAAGGACAAAAGCAACAAACTGAAACAAATGGAGGAATCAACAAACAAGCAGGGCAGATGGATAAGAAAGCAGATACAAGCAATGTCAATCCTGAGGCTCAAAAAGTGACAATTGATAAGGGGAAAACAAAGGAGAGTGAAGAATAGACAGCAATGGCTAGCAACACCAGAATGGCATTGAATAGAACAACAATAATGACAGCAAATGCTTTCCAGATATTGCAACAGGAAGAGGGGAGAAGGGAGGAACCAAGACCACCTGACATAGGTGGTGGAATAATCAGTCAATAATGACTTGGTTGTTCTGGAATATTAGGGGTTTGAATAAGTGGTATAAGCAAAAGGAAATAAAGCAGNCCTCGGATGGAAAAAAATTACAAACTATGAGCATGCTGTGAATGGAAGGTGTGGATCTTATGGGATGAACAAGTATATAATGTGCAACCTCTGAGCAAGCTTGATCAATTCATACACTGTATGGTAACAGGAAAACAGAATGGGATCCATTTTTACTGCACAGTGGTGTATGGACATAATGATGCAGAGCAAAGAAGGAGATTATGGGACCACATTAGGGGAATGGCTAAGAACATTACAGGACCTTGGCTATTGGGGGAAGATTTCAATGCAATTCTCAATGTACAAGACAGAATGTCAAAAACTCCAGTGAAGAATGCAGATATCAAGGAACTTGCTGAGCTATGTCAGGATATTGGCATCACTGAAATACCATGGAGAGGGGACTATTTTACATGGACAAACAAGCAGGAGGGGGATGATAGGGTATGGAGCCGAATAGATAGATTGTTTGGCAATGACCTATGGATGATGAACTATAGCCACTTAAGCACTGAATATGGGGAACCTTACATCTCAGATCACAATCCTATGATTGTGAATATGAGGCAACCAAGGAAATTGTACAACAGCCCATTCAGATTCTTTAATATATGGGCAAGCCATCCTGATTTTGACAGAATAATAAGGGAGGAATGGACTAATGGACAATCAACAGGTAAGATGGTGAGTATTTGGATAAAGCTGAAAAGGTTGAAAAGCCAATTTAGAATCCTGAATACAACTGAGTTCAAAGGAGTAAATGACAAAATTGAACAAGCAAGACAAGCCATACAGCAAATCCAAAGCCAGATGCAGAATAGCTATAGTGACCTGTTGCAAGGGCAAGAGAAAGAGTGGTTGCACAAGCTAGAAACATGGTCCATGGTGGAAGAGCAGATATTGCAGCAAAAGGCAAGAGCTACCTGGATCAAATTAGGTGATTCCAACAACAAATTTTTCTCAGCAGTCATAAAGGAGAGACAGCAGAGAAAACAAATAGAGGAACTACAGGCAATAGCAGGGGGCAACTTAACAACTCAAGCAGCTATTAAGGAGGAAATCATTGTATTCTATAAAAGCCTAATGGGAACAAGAGCTCAGGTTCTACCAGCAGTAGACAAGATGATAATGAAAGAAGGGCCAACTCTAACACAACAGCAACAGGAAGAACTGATTGCAGAAGTTACTCACCAAGAAATTGATCAAGCTTTGAAGGGAATAGGAGGTGACAAAGCTCCAGGCATAGATGGTTATAGTGCAATATCAGGAAGGAAAATAGCTGACAATATCATCCTGGCTCATGAACTAGTTAAATCTTATAACAGGAAGCAGATTTCTCCAAGATGCATGCTGAAGGTTGACATGATGAAAGCATATGATTCAGTGGAATGGGTGTACTTGGATCAGTTGTTAGAATACCTATGCTTCCCAACAAAGTTCAATAACTGGGTGAGAGCATGTGTAACAACAGTGAGCTACTCAATCATGATAAATAGGGAGCTAACAAAGCCTTTTGATGCTGCTAAAGGACTCAGACAGGGTGACCCCATATCACCATTTCTATTTGCAATTGCAATGGAATACTTAAGCAGGCTACTCAAAGGTCTGAAGCATGTTAAAGATTATAAGATTCATCCTAGATGTGGTAAGCTGAACATTACACACCTCAGTTTTGCAGATGACTTATTAATGTTTACTAGAGGTGATAGTAAATCTGTCAATATCCTCCATGCTTGCTTTATGAAATTTTCTGCTGCATCTGGCCTCCTAGCTAACCTTAATAAAAGTGCAATATATTTTGGAGGAGTGAGTCACATTACAAGGCAGGAAATATTGCAGAACACAGGGTATTCAGAGGGGCAGCTACCATTTAAATACTTGGGCATTCCACTTGACACAAAGAAATTGTCAGCCATGCAATGGTAGCCTTTGATTGATAGAATAGTTGCAAGGATTTCCTCATGGACAGCTAAGAAATTATCCTATGCAGGAAGGGTGCAATTAGTCCAGTCAGTGATTTTCGTTATTCAGTCCTATTGGGGACAAATATTTGTATTGCCAACTAAAGTGATCAAGCTAATAGAATCATATTGCAGGAGTTACATCTGGTCTGGCTCTAATGTAATCACAAAGAGAACTCTAATAGCTTGGGATAAAATGTGCCTACCTAAGTCTGCAGGAGGATATAATCTGCTAAACCTCAGAGTATGGAATAAGGCTGCTATCACCAGTGTATATTGGGACCTTGTACAGAAGAAGGATAAAATGTGGATAAAATGGATCCACATTTACTACATTAAAGGACAGAGGCTCATGGAGATGAACATCCCTCAACAGGCAAGCTAGATGGTGAGGAAAATAACGGAAGCAAGGGAAGTGGCTCAGCAAGTTCCTACAGTACTAAACAAGGAAAGGAAAACCAAACAAATATACTTGGCCATTCTGGGGAGCTATAGCAAGGTACCTTGGAGAGCTTTAATGTTCCATAATGAAGCTAGATCCAAGGCATTATTCACTATGTGGATGCAATGTCATGAGAAGCTTCTGACAACTGATAGACTTGCAAGCTGGGGAGTTCAAGTAAATGCTAGATGTTGTCTATGTGAAGAGACAGATGAATCACATGACCACCTATTTGGTAAGTGTAACTTTACTACAGCAGTTTGGGGAAGGCTCATGCAGTGGATACAACACCAGATGAACTCAAGGCAATCATATACACAGATGAAGACATGGATAGTGACATAAGCAAAAGGAAGATCATGTACAGCAAAAATTCTGAAAATGATCTACGCAGAACACATTCATGGGATATGGAGAGAGAGGAACAGCAGAATATTTGAAAATACACGGAGAACACAGAGCAGATTGCACGAGAGATAGCATGTGTTGAAATGAGGAAGAAGATGCAGCAGTTTAAATATTGACCAGTTTATTTGTAACGATTTGTGTACTGCTTCTAAAATAGGATAGTATTAGATTTTATGTAAAGACTAAGTGAGTCGAGGAAGACTCAACTGCTTGTAAATGCTTCTTTGGTGATTAATGAAAAACATAATTACCAAAAAAAATAGACAATAAATTGATTTAAAATAAGGAAAAATACCAAAACTCTTGGGAATGCTTATATATGCATGTATATGCTATTTTAAGGATATTTTGAGTACATAAAAATACTTAGGGAAAAATTGGGTATCAACAGATGGCGGGAAAGACGAGTTGCTAATGGCATATTTCAGTCAAAGTCTGAGTGGTTCGGCGCTGGAGTGGTACACTCGGCAGGATCACGGAAGGTGGTATACATGGGACGATCTAGCACAAGCATTCCCTTGTCACTTCCAGTACAATCTCGAGATTATTCCAGATCGTCTATCTTTGACAAAGATTGAGAAAAAGCACAATGAAAGCTTCAGGGAGTATGGTTTTCGGTGGAGAGAACAGGCAGCAAGGGTTGACCCTCCAATGAAAGAAAGTGAAATGGTAGATTATTTTCTGCAGGCCTTAGAACCTACTTATTACGGTCATCTGGTATCAGCTATAGGCAAGTCCTTCAATGAAGTGGTGAAGATGGGCGGTATGGTAGAAGAAGGACTTAAGTCAAATAAAATCATGAGCTATTCGGCTATAAAGGTAACCACCCAGGCCATTCAAAGTGGAACCGGGGGAGTAATTGGAAAGAAGAAGAAAGAGGATGTGGCAACGATTGATTCAGGAGCTTGGTTCGGACCCAGGGGTTCACCTCACCACTATAATCAGCCTCGACCCCACCACCAAACCTACCTCATACCCCGTATAATCCACCCCAACACTACTACCTACCACCAGACCCGCATTTTTCTGTCCACCACGTCCAAACATACAACCAACCCCCCGCCCACGCACAATGGCGTGCGCCAGCCCCACAAAACACCTACCCGCCCCCACGATCCTACCGAAACCCTCCTAGACCAGATTTCCGGCCCAATCAAGCATTTAAGAACGAGAGGTTGCAGAAGAAGAAAACCTTCACTCCGTTGGGAGAGTCCTATACTAGTTTGTTCCACAGGCTGAGACAATTGGATATGCCGATGCCGATCGAGTCAAAATTGCCAAATCCTCCCTCGAGCAATCTTGATTATTCTGTAAGTTGCGAGTATTGTTCTGGTGCTCCGGGGCACGACACGAAGAAATGCTGGCAATTGAAAAATGCTATCCAAGATCTCGTTGATACAAATCGGATTGAAGTCCAAGCTCCGGAAGCGCCCAACATCAACCAGAACCCGTTGCCGACCCATCAGGAACAAATATGATTGAGATAGTGCATAAGGGAGGGGAGCCTAAAAAGCCTTCACAGACCGTCATGATGATTCGGTCCAGTGAGGTCTAGCCGGTTGAAAAGTCAACAAGTGAGAAATCAGTGATCAGGTTGAGCGGGACAAACAGTGAACCATCTGCGATAGTCAAGAAAGGGTCCTCAAGTGATGTTGCAGCGAAACAAGAAAGGGCAAAAGTGGTTGTGCCGGGAGCGGCGAACAAGCCTGTCGTAATTGTGGAGGGTGCCCGCACAGATCCCGTCATTATCAAGCCAGGCGCCAGGAAGCGCTCAGTAATAACAGTTCCTAGTTCTGTGGTTGATCTTGATAAAGAGTTGATTGAAAGGTTCGAGAAGTTGTTCGACGATGTGAACATGGTGGAAATTGGAGAGGGTTCTAGCAAGGCGGATGTGCAATTTGTCAGGCCAAGTGAAAAGATTAACAATTGGGAAGCTACTCCTCTCCATACCCGGAAGGAGTTTTGGTAGTTTGCTTTGATTTTCTTTCAGTTTATCTGGATTATTCCAGGGTTGTAATTCAGATTCCATGTTCCGTCCGTTTGGATGTATAAACCTTGTTATCTTTTGATTTCAATGAAATGCAATTTCCCTTTTTCATCATTCCTGATAGTATTATTTTTGTTTTTCTTTTCTTCCTTGTACAGTTCTTTTTATGTTGGTTTCAATGACATGACATGCATGAGGAATCTTCGGCCCAGTCTTAAAAGCCAATCTAATTCTGAAATAATAATCTAAGAAATAGAGTGTGATGATGAAGCAGAGATTGATGAGTGGGTCAAAACCCGATTGGAGCAATTAAGTCTGATTGATGAGAAAAGACTGGCGGCAGTATGTCACGGCCAGTTGTATCAAAAGAGAATGGCAGAGCATTCAACAAGAAGGTGCGTCCCCGGAAATTTGAAGTGGGTCAGTTGGTATTGAAACGCATCCTCCCACATCAAGCGGAAGCAAAAGGCAAGTTTGCCCCAAATCGGCAGGGGCCGTTCGTGGTAACGAGAATGTTGTCCAACGGTGCTTTGTATTTAACGGATATAGAAGTCAAATGTGTAGATATGGCTATCAATTCTGATGCAGTCAAAAGATAATTCTTTGGTTTAAATTGTGTTTGTTTGTACTTGGCATGTTTTGAAGATTGGAATGATGAAGGCATTTTGTTCTACTATCTAAACACTTTATCGTTTGTTACCCCTTTGAGCCATATTTATTTCCTTTCATACCCCTCTTTTGGAATCAGTAGCGAAATTCAGCAAAGCAGTAAAGAAGAAAAGGAAAGAATGGAAAAGAATGAAAAGAAAGAAAAAGAGAGAAAAAGAGACAAAAAGAAGGAAAAGAAAGAAAGAGAAAAAAAAAAGAAAAAGAAAAGGAAAAGGGGAAAGAAAAAAAAAAGAGAAGTAACAACCACAAAGCAATTCCTATGTCATGAACTACGTTCGACCTGATTCCTTTTAAAGATACGTAGGCAGCCTCGCGGTTCGGTCCCATCAAAGTAAAAATCCAAAAGTCCCCAAGCAAAGAAATTGGGGCAGAAGTTGTGTTTGTTGTAGGAAATCTGATTCCGAAAGTTGTAATTCTAAACCCAGTTGAGTTATTTTGAGCCTTTTGATACCCTTTCTTTCTAACCCTATCCAAAAACCCACATTACGGTCCAAAGAAAGACCTTCCGATCAGTCTTCAAGGGATGCCAAGTCGAGAAAGTAGAGGTGATTCATGTCAGGGGCAACACTCTGATCTAAGCAAGAAAATGAAAATAAGGGAGTCTTATTGGTGAAAATCCTCACGAGCGCCGTAAGGCGATGAAAGCTGAGAGAAATCGAAAATGAGAGAGTCTTATTGGTGAAAACCTTCACGGGCACCTTAAGGCGAAAGTGAGTTGAGAGATGAACAAATGAGAGAGGTTTGATGATGAAAACCCTTCGGGGCACCGCAGGCCGAACAAGGACAAGGTTTTGGTGAAGAAATTGGGTTTTGAAGATCTCGGGGCATAAAGTACGACAACTGAAAGCTGATTGGTTGGACAGACTGGGCCGATTAATCCGAAATGCATGTCATGATCATTGGTGCCAGTTGCTCCACTCAGATAAGTCTATTTTCTTTTTCCCCTTCAGACAGTCTTCCAGTTTTGGATTTTTCTTATCCCTAACTCTCAAAAGTCATTGCATTTCATTTCTTTTGGGTTTATTTCTCTAAAGTGTGTCCAATGTCAGTTCCGTTTAAGCAATAAGAAAGGATTTCAAAGCTCATGATCAACTTCCAAAGTTGCACAAGTACAGGGCGGTCAAGGCATTGCTAAAGATAGTATGATGCGAAATGGGATACAAAGGGTCAGTGAAAGTTTCATCGGTGGAATGGTTTAGTAATTTCACGGGAGATGCAGAGGTTCAGATAGATGGGTCAGAGATGTAACACAACGGTTTGGGTATAGAACACTCGGGTCATCCAAGGTCATGTGGGTGAAGGTCAGTCAGAAAGTCAAGCAGTTCTTGGCCAGTTCGAAAAAACCAGGCAAAGCAAAACACGGCAGCGGAGAGGCCACCTTCAGCAAGAATGCCACAAACTAACCACCACATTTTACACTGACAAGATTTTTCTTTGATTGAAACAGGGGCCAAGAATTTCATTTGTTTCGGAGAAACCCTCCGTAGGGGAAAAGCGAGCATCAGACAGGTTTGACCGTAAAGTCTCAGGACCCTCCTGGAAATGGGACCTAGTCTAAAATTCAAAACAATCATGAGTAGCAAAATCTAGTATAAATGTACCCCAAAGGAATATAAGTTGGTTCCAAAGTTTGCATGTTTGAGATAGGATTCAAGTAGGAGTTTTCAGGACCATCCTGAATAATGAGACCTAGCTTTAAAGATTTTCATTAGATAACAAGATTTAGCGGAAGTCATACCTTTAGAAGATATAGTTTAGCTTTAAAACTGTCATTGGGGTTTAGCTTTCAAATTCTTAGTGATATTTGGCAACATGGTTCAGTTTTACACTCACATATGTGCCCAGATACCAAACTGGGGCAAAAAATTTTCTTTGTTTT